TTATAATATCCTGTTTAATTCGTAACAAGTGTCTATTAATTATTGGTTTGATGACTTATTGGTTTGACTAAATTATAAGTCTTTTAAAAGAGTATATTAATCTAAAGACTTTCGAAATTCAAAATCAAGCAAAAAATATTAAAAAAACAAATAAGAATCAATAAGTTTAGCTCGAAACGTAAAATTTAAATATAATTATTTAATTAATAATTTATTTTGATTTCTCTTTGATCCATCTTCAGTTGTATTTATATATTTTCATTGAAAATAATTCTCTCTCGTCAGAGAAGAGCTAAAACATTTAAATTGTTATATATTTTTAAATAAGAATAAATTCAATTTTGTATTTAATTCGCTAATAATTTCGTTATTACACGTAATCATTGTTAATTTTATGTTATTAAATATATAAAAAAATCAACAAAATAAAAGTTGTAAAACGTTCATTTGACGATAGACTTGGTCAAAATGTTTGAGATTATACATATATCATTGAGATTATGTATTTGTTTTCAGAATATTATAACACATAGGTATACATACGCAAAATAATGTAGAGATGTATCGCAATTATACGACATAAATTTAAAAGCTAATAAGTTTAATATTCATATTTCTAGTATAATAATACGCGAAATTATATTATACACATGCGTCGTCCATTTAATAAATATTTTGGCTTTATTCGAAAAATAGAAATTTCTCTCAAATTATATTATATAATCAATTTAGATGACACTTTACTAGAATGAACTTAAGCGTTTACTTTATAATTCTAACGTTTTTGAAATTTTTGTCTTATATGCAAATCTTTTAAATCAGAAATAAAAAGAATAAAGTTTTGCATATTGTAATGTAAAATTTTATATATTGTATATTTTCAAAATAGTGCGATAAAAATGAATGAAATTTTTTTTAGATTTTATTGATATAAATAATTTTATATCATAGATTTATTTTTATCAAATGTGAGAACCTTAACCGATAAAAGAAAATTCTACGTGAGATCAACATGTATAGCTAATCTATCAGTATTTGTTTCTTTAAAACATATTCGATACAAAAGTATTGTGAAACGATGACGTTTTGTTATTATTTTCACGTCTTCAAAAAAAAAATATTATTTTTATAGTGTCCGCATAGTGTATTGCATACTTTGTATTTAATTCATTTCATACACGCACACAATGATAATATACGTACGATCTAAATCTGAAATAGACCGAAATAGATATTCTTTTCTCAAGTAATCAAACGTCGAGCTAATAGCGTTCTCGTCGTGAACTATAAACCTCGTTCGAGAGACCTTTCGGGTTCCTCCAGGACCGTACGTATTTTCAGCTTGCGAAAGTACCGATGAAATGCAATAAGAGGAATATAAGTTCGTTCATGGGACGTCACCAGTTCTATTACAGTCGTCGGTCTACAGAAGAAGCATAGAAAGGAGCACACGGGATTAACATGTATCAAATTCCACGAACCGCTTTGAAGTCGCTTGCACACAGTCTTGAACATTTTTAATGCATCTCTAAAATTCAACATGAAATAACAATTAGAATAATCATGATTATTGAATATCATAGGAAAGAAAAAAGTCATGAATCACAATTGCAACGAACTTAAATGTTATATCACAAAGTTATCATTAACTAAAATGTATATATTAGGTGTTGGAATTAATTCGTAGCGTTTTACAAGTGATGGGAAGTACTTTCATTAATGTATTTTTTAATGCTCATGTGAAATAAATAACATTCTTTCATTAAAAAACGCTACGAATTAATTCCAACACCTAATAATAAAATTGCATCATGAAATCGAAGTTACATCAAAATTATAAGTACTTGAATAACGTTAACGACGAAAGTGACAGCGCTCTACGTTACCGTTCGATTCTTTCAACTACACTGAATTTCTGATGTCTCGACTTTCAAACATCGATAATTCAGATAAGAAATTTACTTATCTTCCACTAGATTACTCATCATCCAACCAATAATAGGACTTACTTCTAATCGTAGCAATTAGCGTTTTGCAATCGTTAATACGCAGTTTGTTCGAAAGACAGTCGTCGTTTTAATCGCTCTGAAGATCTATGGTTCATTAGTGCAAAGTGGCTTCAACGCGTACATTTGTTACGACGACATTCCACGGATATTTTATGCTCTTCGTGAACGCTCGGTTTAATCTTTGCTACGTCCCAAGTACTATTAAGCAAAGCATCATATACTGTTACTTTCATTTTTGCTTACTCAAATGATAATTTTATCAGTCAAGGAACTAAAGTTTATGATATTTACTTACACAAAAAGTCATTTTTACTATGAGATTTTATAATATTTTGTAAAGTAATTGGGCTCTATATTGCCCATCTAAATTTTGAATTTTTTATCATTTTTTGCTAAGTCCAAAATTGAAAACTGATGACAGATTCAAAAAAAGAACCATTTCTAAATATTAAAAAAATATTTTCAAATATTGACATGAATGTAGTGAAAAGTTCAAGAAAAAGTAGCATTTATGAGTATGACCTAAATATATATTCTTCTCCTTTTCGTAAAAAAATAGAAAATAAAGTGATCTCATGTTTTATAAGATTTTTAAGATTTTTTATAAAACTTTTGAGATTATAAGTTTATTGTCATATTTACATGTTTATTGACATGTGAAAATACACAAACTACTGAACTATTTTTTAAATTGATTTATCTACTTATTTATTTATTTATTTATTTATTTATTTCTATAATGACAATATTTATAATTTATAACAGGCGAATTAGAATCCATAATCTAGAATGATACATATATCAAGATAACAGTATAATCTAGGTATATACAGTATGCCTAAATTGATTATATCGGTTCCGTATTTTACAAAACTTTCTCTTTTTAATTGTACTAAACGTTATGACAAAAATATAAATTAAATACAGTGTTGTAAAATATAAATACAGAGCTATAATAAGATGAATTACAAAAGTTAATAAGTCATCTTTTGATAGTTACAGAAAGCAATTACTTATCTACGAAATATTACATCATGTTTTGCATTTTCCTTTATTGACAACGGAATGAACAAACTAAATAAAATTGATGCAATCGAGTCAGACGGACAATTTGCACGACTTACAGTGATATCTGTTGAATTCATTATAACTGCATTCTATTATTCACTGCAAGTACTGAAATTACCTACTTAGTATGTACATTATACATAATGCAAATTATAGATTTTCAGTATTCTCAGTGAATAATGGAACGCAGCCCACGTAATTATAAACGCAGCGAGGCATATTTGATACTGGATTACTTATTATCATTACATGTACACATATTTTTATTACAAAATTTTATATTGAAAGATATTCTTAAATCTTTTAAAAATTTGTAAACAGTTAATTCAATATTTGACTTAATTGTGATTAAATGTTAAAATACTAAAAAATAATTATAAAATGTAAATACATACAAAACAATTAATTAAAAAAAGTCATTTAATTAAAAAATTTTATAGTAATCTACTCTCTCTCTCTCTCTCTCTCTCTCTCTCTAAATATATATATTTTTTATTTATTTATTTATTTATTTATTTATATCTCTACCACTTACTGATTTCCGTGATTCAAAATGGAATATCTGCATCCGATCTTAGACTTAAACGATCTATTTTTCCGATTCTCCTTGAAAAAAACATCTTTAGTCATCAATGGACAAGAATGCATGCTCGGTTTTTTGTGCCGAATGGATTTCTTAAGCGAAAAACGTCGTGGCACGTAGGTCCTTGACGATGTGTTTATAATAGTGAATGGCGCATGAGAGGGACATGTTATCTGAGGAAAGGACGTTCGCAGAGGGACACATCTGTAGATCATCTGTAATAATGTGAAATGTTAAAACAATAAATAGACTATAGCATTTTTTAAGGTTTGAGATGTTTTACAAGAATAGTTTAATTTGGCATATTGTATGTAAATAGGTCATCTAATTTGGGTCTACCTAAAATGTCTCATTTGTTTTTGATACAAAAAAATATTATTTGTTTAAGAGGTTTATTATTTGTTTCAAATATTATGACAAAAAAAAAACAAATTTTCTCAAAGGCATATTTTTGACATTTCAAAGTTATCATCATTTTTTAAAATAGAATTATGATTTTTTTTCGTAATATAATTTTTCGAGCGTTATTTTGCACATAAAAATATTAAAGTAGTAAAATGTAAAGAAATGGAATATATAAATTAGTATTAATGTAAAGATGTGTGTAATTAATCTAAAGAAAATACGTAGCGTTTTAAAAAAAAGAATTGTACAATTTGCAATATGCAATTACATATCTTTTTTGAAAAGCCACTACATATTCTTTACACTAATTGATTCTTATTTTGTGCATAAAAGTTTTAAGATATAAAAAAATAATAATTTGCGAAATTTATACTTTATATCAAAATAAAGTATAAATATCAATAATATATTCTTTAAATTTTATGTGATTGATTTTTAGATAATATTATTTTAAATATTATTATCTAAAATTAGTAAATTAAGTACCTACCTTTTATATGTACATAATTGGAAGAATATGTAAAAAAGTAAAATTCATATAAATTCATTTAAAAAAATAAATTTTGACATTCCAAAAATGTGATCTTAAGAAAATTTTTTGCTTATTATAATATATATCTTTTTCAAATAAATAATGTTTTCCTTTGATATTATTTAAATTATTTTGTATCATTAAAAACAAAAGAGATGTACGTGGTTAGGATAAATGACTCACCTTGTATAATTTAAATAACTAAATAATTCATTTTAAATGATGAATCTTTCAATCATGAATTTCATTGCAATAATTGCGATAAATATTTGACGCTAGTAGCAAATTTTCAATAGAGTATTTTTTAAATGTAAAGTATAAATTAAATTTTTGTTATTGAAAAAAAATGTATTGCTATAATAATAACATTGTGATGTAACTTTTATTTTATTTAAACGCTTAGCATAAGTTAGATTATGCAAGATAAACATACTCTAGTAATTAAAAAGGCCAATAGCACTTGCATAACGATCAAAGTAATAGTCATAACGTAAGCGACTATGACGATTCTAAGAAGAATGGGACTAATGATTTCTACACAGCCGTTCACATTTATTGTTTTGTCATCTGTCATTTCTAAGTGCATGCAAGGTGCCACAGCGTGCAAGTTACAGCAGCTAAAAGGGACTCCAAGACCTCTGTAGTCTTCGTCCGAAATTCTGTTTTGTTGCTCCATTTCCTCTCGAGATGCGTAATCTATTTTCTTGTCAAAAATATATATTATAAATGTTATATAAATATATTTTTTTTATTACTCTTTTTTTTCTCTCTTATCTTTCTATAGTAAAAAGAAAAACTGTTTATATATGTATATCTTTAAAAAATTTATTCCCAAAAATATAATAAAAATGAAACAATAAATTATAAAATGTGCGCATCACTGTAAATATATATATATATATATATATATATATACTCATTTACAAAAATTTTCAATTTAAAAAAAAAATTAAATAATAAGAAAAATATTATTTTGGAGCAGCTTGCGACGCAGACAGTAAATCAATAACAAAAACAGACTGTTTATTCATCATCATTCGACGAATCTTCTCTCTTTTTGGTATCTGCAAACGAGGTCGACGTGTAATATTGGAAAATTACCTGCCAGTCGAAGAGAAACCAATCAGTATAAGAGGAATGACCGCAACATTGTAACACAAATTGGATCTCGTCGATCGCGTATTTATGTGACGCAGCAGTGGTATACAGATGCATGGAAACGTTGAAAATATCGATTAAAGTTTCTTGTTTTACACTAACGTGATATCCTATCGAAGCTAATGTCGTTGTGTTCATAGCAATACATGTAATTATCATTATCAAAAGACACTTCAGCACCCGCCTAGTCTTTGAATAAAGATTCGATTTGCGCCTGCAAGAATGCATCCATTATTACAAGTTACTCAAAAAAAATATCAAAAGAAGTAATAAACATTGTTGTAATAAAAATATAATTAATTTAATTTTTACTTTTGTTTCTAATTATTATTAATTAATACAATTTTATATATGTATATGTATATATATATATATAATAATATAGTAACTTATTTTATATCTTATGTAATCAATAATGTAATAATTAATATACCATTACAATACATAATTGTTTTTTTGATTGATTTATCTTCAATATAAATCGAAGATATTTATATTTTAATTATAACCTGCTTTTTATGTATTATTTTTGACTTGCTAATCGAAGAAAGATCAATTATACAGGGTGCGTCACCAAAATCCAAATCGAACAATTTCTTTAAACAAAATGTTTTTAATGAAAAATTAAATATTACAAAAAATCCTTTTATGGCACTTGGGGGATCCCTCTAGAGTACAATTATTCGAAATATCCTCCATTAGCTTGAATGACGGCGTCTATTCTCGATCTGCACGCACGCTGTAATGTAACACTGTCCATGTCGACGAATGCTGCCTCAATAGCGGTCCTTAATGACGTCATATTGGGATGTCGAGACTTGTTTTATGACCCTTTCAACTACGTTCTATATGTAGTAGTCCAAGAGATTTAAATCTGGGCTGTTGGGAGGCCAGAATGGGAGCCGAGACGAGCAACTCGACTTGTCCTGGCAGCCTCAGAGAGCATCTTTAATACGATTTGATCGAAGGTCCTTTTCAGCAATTCGATGCATTGTTGGCTCACCAACAATCGATGCTAATTTTTGCAACGATTGCCCTAGGTCATCCGAAATCAGCGCTTGAGCCCTTTCAACGTCTGCGGGGATCCTCGTGGTGCATTCTTTCGAGTGACTCTTCCTCGCTGGACCTTACTAGAACCTTCATTGGACTGCTCTAAAGCCGTATATTTTTCCATAACATCATAAAAGATTGATCTCGAGTATCCAAAGAACCGAATTATTTCCGTTGTTGAGCGCCCAGCGCGAAGGCCTTCGATGATCGCGGCTCTTCAATTATATTCCGCACTTGGTTTCAACATCGCGGTCATTTTAAAAATATGATTGTTTATTAGAAGCATCAGGCTTTCTCGGACACCAACAACAAACTCTCTGACGGAGGCACAATATAGCAAAGAATTTAAATTTAAATTTGTTCGGATTTGGTGACGCATATATATTATCCCTGTATATTAGAAATTAGAGATATATTATAGGAGAAATAATTATATATTATATATCATAAAAATTTTTTAATTAATAATTTTATTAATAAATGTTATATCTATCAAGTGTACGTCTCACTTACTCATTCATCTTTACGAGATAAGTATTACCTGCGTATAGCGCGTACGATGATAAGGGCGCACGGTAATCCTAGAGCCACGTCTACCAAGGTAAGGGCAACCGGCTGGAAACCACCTGCGATACGGATCACCTGCCATTCTGCAAATATCTCCAAGACGATCACGAGGAGACGCTTCGCCTCGAAGACGGCCAGCGTGAAAGCTACGCCATAACCGAACTTTACCTCCCATTCGCAGGTGCAACGTACTCTTTTGCGGTAAACCAGGCTGTGACCGTTTTCTGTCATTCAATGGTTGCACGACGCCGCGCCTATTTTTATTTTATGAATAATTCCGTTTTGTTATGTTATTTTTTCTCCCTCTAAGTGTCTCGCGTGTAAAATAATAGCTACGAAACATACCTAAAAAGTTCAAACATAATTAGATACGTTCAGAGAGAATGAATTATCACTCTATCGACAAAATAATTTTTAAGTTAATTATTAAATTAAGTTAACTGAAAACATTCTGGAAAATTTATTTAATATAATTTTATGTATATTGTTCCTACATGTTGTAAAATTTGTCTACAACTAGATACGTGTAACATTTTTTACGTGTATTTAACTGAAAAAACAAAACTCCTGTATAAATAAATAGTAATTGTTTAAAATTAATAATTATGCAATGATATTCTTTTATTCCATTGCTTGTCACTATTTGACGCAGATACCTTTGTACATGACATTATTTCGCAATGTCGAATTGTCACACTGCAACTGTCGCAAGTACACCGTTTATTACTCATCATTGTTACACATACCGGAAGAGGTATGTAAAGAAAAAAGTTGTTTTGACGAGATACAATTACACGCGACGGGACTATAATTGACGTGGCGTGCAAATAGGTCGCGTTTGCATGTATATATTACACGTGCCCTAAAGTCATTACCACAACAATTGCGCAAATTATATATTGTACATTCATTTCAAAATATCTAGAAATATTGCTTATTAATAGCGAGAAATTTCCATTTTTAATAAGCCTCACTTGTATATTTAATCATGATTTTGTCAATTAATAAATATTTATCAATAATTAAAAAATGATTTATCATAATACAAAGGAGAAGAAAAAATAGAGAAATAAAACAATTGTGAAAAAAGTATCCTTTTTAATATTAATATCTAATAATATCATTATCCTTTCATTATATGAATTATTACAAAGATTATACAATTTTAAAAAAGAAATCTGTTTTTTACTTAATACAAAAAATAATATATAATAATATAAGTATGATATATTATTTTATACAGGATGTCTGGAAATAACCGCCAAATATTTCATGGGCAGGTAGAGAGGACTAAAGTCGAAAAGTCCTCTACTATTTTGCAATTTTCGCAATAGTTAACAAGATATTAATTACTAAAAATTGCCAAATATTGGTCTTGAATAATTTTTTACTCAAATACTATCAACTTTATAGAAAAGCTGCAAGAGACAAAAATCATTTATTTTCTTCTCATAAAGTTCTAAGAATTTTTTCAGAATTTTTTATCAACTTTTTAGTACTGCATTTTCTCATTTTTACCAACATAAGAAAATGATTATTAAAAAATTCTGAAAAAATTCTAAAAAAATTCTTAGAACTTTATGAGAAGAAAATAAATGATTTTTGTCTCTTGCAGTTTTTCTGTAAAGTTCATAGAATTTTGAGATTCATTGTATTTGAGAAATTATTCAAGACCAACATTTGGCAATTTTTAATAATTAATATCTTGTTAACTATTGCGAAAATTGCAAAATGGTAGAGAACTTTTCGACTCAGTTTAGTCCTCTCTACCTGCCCATGAAATATTTGGTGATTATTTCCAGACACCCTGTATATATAGACTTCTGTATACAGATTAGATTATTAGATTATTACTTAATTATAATATCTTGCTCAATATCACATTTTAATACATCATTAATATTGAATAACATCAATTGATTAATCAGTAGTGATTGAAAGTCGAGATAAATTATGAGATTAAGACAATTGATCTTTCGTTCTTTAACAATATTCGGATAAAAACTTACCGATAAGCATCGTGTACTAAAATAAGATAATTTCTTGAATCTTCAAGCCGAATATGTATGTAGTTTTGGTTATGATTATATTCATATAAAATATAATAAAATGTATAACATGAAGATCACTTTTATATTAAGGTGATGACATGCGCACTATATTGTCGTTAGGTCGATATCTCGAGATTTTGATATTTAAAATGTTAAATACGCAAAAAGATGCAAAATAAGAATATTATAATAAAGTATTAATTAATAATTATTGTTCGATTTATAGTTCATATTGTATTTTAGTATTGTTCGATATTAAAATATATCTATGCAATAAGTAGAATATTTTGAATCTATTAAAGTAGAGGAAAGTCAGTATCGCCGATATTGACATAGGTCTTTTAAAGTGACACCCTCTTATTTCTCAGAAACTAACAATTTCTTTATTAATATTACTACTTTATTAATATTAATAAAATTATGATCTAATTAAAGTACTCATAACTCATATATTTATTGGCTTATTTCTATATCAAATCAAATAAAAACGAATTCTATGATTGTGAAAATAAAATTCTTACAATTTTTTTTTGTAAATTAAGTAGTTTAAATAACAGTGACTATATTATTGATAATATTACGTTATTCTAAATGCTTAGTTTCCTAAATCAGTTTTTTATTTATATTATTTTTTCTCTTAATTTTTTCATAATAATTTTTAATTTTAAATATAAAATTGGAATGCAGTGTAAATCGCCACACCTATCTGTAAATCACCTATCATCAGATCATGAGCTAACTTATTCTTTATAATGTTGCTTTATAGTGTCAAATAGCTCTATTAGAGCTGAAGATAATCGTGCATATATAGAATAACTCTTGAAAAACTATCACGATACATCGCGATGCATCTTGCAGAGAGAAAGAGAGAGAGAAAGAGAGAGAAAGAGAGAGAGAACAGCATAAAGCAAATATTCATATAATTCAATACAAATATTTTATAATGAAGAGAGTGAAAAAATTCTAGAATATCTTATATACATTCACTTGTAAATACTCTATGCAGATAATTCCTGTAAAGGAATAGGCATACATACCATTACTGTCTACTGTGTCAGTTTTTTTGGAGCCCATTTTGTCAAACGCTCATTTTTGCTTACCTTATGAAAAAATTAATTATTGCAAAATTGCAAACAGTTATATAAAAGCTGCTTATACTATTTAATGGAAGACACTTTTTAGTTTGTACTTATGTTTTTAAAGTTTTATTTTTACCATTTGTTTAAGAAATATAAAAGTAAAGTGATATGTATCGGCGACTTTCCTCTACTTATAATACGATCTCGGAAGCTTATGCAAACTTATGACAATAATGAGAATGTAAAATGCCTCGTATTAATACGTTTCATGCATGCTGGGCGAATTTTAAGTGACATCGCGTATTTGTTAATATATACTTTGCAATAGTTTTATATGATTTTACATAACTGAATATACATAACTTCTAAGTTATACTGAATGTAAATTAAACAAATGTAAATTTAATGATATGTTTCGTAACTAAAAATATTATGTACATAATTTACATTTTGTATATAATTTAAATACGTCATCAAAGTTCGCATCTGAATTTTTAGTAAATTAAAATGAAATATGCCATATGAAAAATTACTCCAGTTACTGTTATATCCCAGTTACTATCATATCAGGTTAATAAAAATCCTAACGTGGTATGCAAATTTTGTTCTACTACTTGATGAATAATCATTATTTAACTTTTCTCTTAGGTGGTCGTAGTTTCTCCATTCTCCTGTCTTAATATTATTATTATTATATATTTCTAAATAGAATAACTTAATCTTTAAATTAATTTCTGACATCAATATATTTAAAAAACTTATCCATTGATCGTTTTTTTATTTATGTAAGGCATGCTATTATAACTTTTTATATCTATAACAAAATCAAATTAATTTTTTAACAAAATCAAATTAATTTTTTTAAGAAATACATAATTGATTTTTCAAAATTTTTCTTTTACAGTAATCACTTTTATTACTTTAATTAGAATACTAACAAATATACACAGACTGTATTTGTGATTTATAATGTAATTTTTAATTCTTGATGATGATATCTTTTTACTTTAATCATCACTTTTTCATAACCAATGTGGCAACAACTGTCAGTTTATACATTTACTTATTATACATATAGTCAAAGATCAATATGCTTAGAAGGTTGCATTAGCAAAATGCCATGCTTGAAATATATACTGTCGAAAAAGTATTAAATAATAAGAAGATGCACTTATAGAGGAAAGTCGCCGATACCGATATATCACTTTGTTTTTAGACAATATTTCTTAAACAAAAAGTAAAAATAAAACTTTAAAAACATAAGTACAAACTGAAAAGTGTCTTCTATCAGATAGTATATACAGTTTTTATAATACTATTTGCAATTTTGTAATAATTAATTTTTTCGTAAGATGAGCGTCTGGCAAAATGGGCTCCAAAACTGACAGTAGGCACTAATGCTACATATTCCTATCTTTTTTTATTTTACAAGAATTATCTGTATAAAGTACAAATGAATGTATATAAGATTTTCCAAAATCTTTTCATTCTCTTCATTATAAAATATTTGTATTGTATTATATGCATATTTATTTTATACCGTTCTGCTAGATGAGATACAAATACATGATGCGACAGTTTTTCATATATGCACAATTGCCTTTAGCTGCAATAGAGTTATTTGACACTATAAAGCAACATTATAAAGATTAAGTTAGCTTATGGTCTATTTTACAGACAGGTGTGGCGGTTTATATTGCACTTCAATTTTAAATTTAAAATTGTATTATGAAAAGTCTAAGAGAAAAAATAATATAAATAAAACTGATTTAGGAAACTATAAGCATTTAAAATGACGTAATATTATCAATAATATAGTCATTATTATTTAAATCACGCAATTTGCAAAAAAAATTGTAACAATTTTATTTTTACATTCGTAGAATTCGTTGTTAGCTAATTTATAGAAACAAGCCACACGAATTATGAGTTTGTACTTCTTTAATTAGTTAAACAGATATGATTTTATTATTATAGTATTAATAAAGTGCAATAATTAGTTTCTGAGAAATAAGGGGTGTCACTACTGTCACTTTAGGAGACCTATGTCAAGTCAAATTTAAGAAAAATCAAAAAATATGTTTATATAATTAAATGCTTTCTTAGAAATCTTAGAAATCTTAGAAATGCTTTTCCAAATGCTTAAGAATAAAAATGCGTTATAATAAATGCCACATATAATATTAGGTGTTGGAATTAATTCGTAGCGTTTTTTAATGAAAGAATGTTATTTATTTCACATGAGCATTAAAAAATACATTAATGAAAGTACTTCCCATCACTTGTAAAACGCTACGAATTAATTCCAACACCTAATAATAAGACTAATATTGTGTATTGGCATATTAATATCATTATAAATAATGCCAAAATATGTCTAGAAGGCAAACGTGACGTATACAATATTATTTAGTTTGTATTATATAATGCGTGTTCTAATCTTTATTCGAATGTGCCATGTGAGATATTATTAAAATGTGCAAAATGTGAAAAGCTAAAATATATTATATGTATGCAGTTAATAGAATAGATATATATTCCATTCAAGTTTTATATTACAAATTTGGAAGCTCAAGCGAATTTTTTAATCTAAAAACAATATGATTTATAGCGTAAGAAAACGCAAGTAATATAAAAATATAAAAATATACTTTATAAGCATATATTTATATTATCTGGAAATCATTTTAACAATATTAATTAACAATTAAATATTATTGTACTTTGAATATTTCTTTCATTTTCAAATTATAGATTAAAAGCTCCCAAATAGTATCTAATTACTATAATAATTACTATAATAATATTATAGTGACTATAATTATTATAATTACTGTAATTAAACTAGTTTTATTGCAATATATATTTTATTATACATGTTGATAAACGCCACATCTATGTGTATTTTATAAAATTGCGAAATTGGAATATTGTTTATTTTTTCAAAATCAATAATTTTTACCTAACATGACTATACGCATATTATTTCATTTTCTTTTGTAAAAATCTCTTTCTTTGTAAAATCATTTATTACTTCGCCGTAAATTAATATTTTCCAGACAACAAAAAGAATCTGACATCGCGTCATAAGTCATAAGACATTTTTTTGTGTCTAAATAACTTAAAGACGTCACAATTTTAGACCTTGTGTTGTTTGGATTGACACATGTAATGATGAATTAATTATGCACCCATAACTACTTTTAGATTTTTCTTTTATTAAAATACAATACATCTTAATCTGGTATTTTGTGTTCTTCGATTAAATTATCAATCAAAATGATAATTAAATATATTGACTTTTGTATACTCTTTCACGAATTTCAAGCAAACGCATTAAAGTATTAAAAATCGCACGAAAGAATGGAGACCACCAAGCATCAGGTCGCAATAAGTATTTCAACACAAAGTGATATGTATTCAGCAAGTACCAGCTGTAAAACGGCATAAATGAAGTATCTGAAAATATATTATTATATATATATAAATGATTTAAATTTGTTCAACCTGTTTCTCTATTAATGTAGATTAACTTTAATCTCGCTTTAACGGGCAAGCAACATTTATACGACATAACATGCTTTGTCTGACAAAAAAATTTAGAAGTATCGAAGAAATAAGAAAATGATTTGATAAATTTATCGCAAGAAAGATCAATCTTTCTATTGAGCTGGAATCTATAACTTGCCTAAAAAGTGGAGAAAAGTAGTCAAAATAATAATGATTATTTTCATGACTAAATTATGTTTTGACAATGAATATGCTGAATATTAAATAATATTAATCATAAAAAATAATGGATTTTTTGTACACCTAAAAACTTTGATATGAAAATCTCGAATAAGAGACCGTATTATCAATATCAACACGCTTAAGGAGCCGCATTAGTAAAATATTATGTTTTTTGTACATTTAACTCTGCATAACTCGAAATATGTCAAATAAAATGTTAAATAATGAACAAAACACTCAAATATATATGTATATGATATTCATATAACAATACGCTCAAGTTTAAAGAAATCAAGAAGCAGATATAATTAAATGCTTACTTTAACGCGGTACTTTCCAAATGTTTCGAAATGCTCGAAAATAGAAAATAGAAAATAGAAATATGTTGTAACAAATGTCATTATAACAAGACTTGTGTATTGACATATTAGGGTCATTGTAAATAACGCTATTATGCCTACAAGGTCTATATTATTATCTTCTTATCTATGTATTATTTATCGTATGTAAATGATATGTACATACGTATATATATATATATATATATATATATAGTTTCTTATGTTCAAAATTAATACAGTTTACTTGAATTATATCGACCAAAAAGAATCTATCTAAATATGTTAAAAAAGTATTTTAATTACGTTAAAAAATTGTGTTTTCGCTAGTCACATATTGTAATTCTTAATTTTTATCAGTTTCACATATATATATATATAAATTTATTCTTATTAAATTACCAATTTCGATGAAATGATTATTATTACGCGCGGTCGAAGAAACCATATGAAGTGTGAAGGCAGTGTACGCTAGTGGCTCAATACCAAAGTTGATAGGCCAGAGACTCTGCAGCAGTACATTACCCATCTGATCGAAATGCTCGTTCTTATTTCTATTTGCTAAGCAAGGAACGAAAACTTCTTCCAGTATTCTTTGGCAAAGAGCACGAGTTTCTTCAACAGTACCCGCGCAGATATTAAATCTAAAACAAGTTTTCTTAAATTATATAAATGGATTTGAATGCATATTTGATTAAGAATTTAAATATCATGTCTTTGATAAACTATTTCACTAAAACATTTTAACAGAACTGAAATAAAATTAGGCTCAAAGAACAAATCAAACAAATAATAATAAATACTACTGCAACAGAAAATAAATGTGGGTACAAACTTGTCGTCTATTCCAAGCATACTGCCAATAACCCTCCAGAGATGCACTACACCTTCCATTTCTTCAGGAGTGGTATTTATTCCTACATATTTCTCGCATACAATAATGTATCCGACAAATCCAAACTGGGCGAGTGCCATGTCCAATTGCGTTGGCTTATGAACTCCGGCCTCGGTGCTTCTTTTGAATGCAACACAGTGTTTTCGACGAACAATTTTTAGGGATTCTAAAAATCTACAATTATTATTTATGTAGCAAATGTACACTGTGGAAATAAAAATTAAATTTTTTGTATTATTATGTTCTAACGCATAACAAAAGTTTTTAAAAATAGTTATATGTAATTAATGTATATATTATTTTATATATATTAGGTCATTTAAAAAGTATCTGCGGTTTTTGTTCAATTTTTGAATGAAAAAAACCGCGGATACTTTTTAAATGACCCAATATTATTATATTTATTAATTAATGTTGAGAATTATTTAACACAATTATTTACAATGTTTATCAATTTGTTTATTCAGATGCTGACAATGATCATGTACTATAAATATAAAATTGCGTAAATTTGTTCATATCTTTTCTTATGCTAAATATTCTAAATATTGAAGTCTATAGCAATATTATGTCAAATAAAGGCACTTCAAAATTAATATTTAATATTTAACTATTAATATTTAATATTAATATTAAATTATAATATTTAATTATTAATATTTATGATTTTTCAACAGAGAAATTTATAAAAGCAAAAAAGAGTAATAAACAGCACGGTAATTAGTACGAAATAAAACAATATAAAATAATTTTTAACTTCCTTATATCATTACAAGACAATCGGACGTTTCGACTTCTTTTATATCATCTTTAGCGATATCAGTGATATTTTTTAATTTACATGTGT